GTGTAAATTACCACCAGCCTTTATGAAATATTGTAATAGGATGGAGAAATAAACGCAGCTGGAGTGCATATTAGAGTTCAAAATGCCAAGCTCAAGATTCGTGAACTATCCCAAGACAATAGAAAATTAATTTTAGTCATGCTCTGTGTAGGGAAATTAGCATTAAAAGATTAGCCATGCTCCCTGCACAAGATAGTAAAACGTTGAGTTGGTAAAACCACTCAACTAATTGTTCTTATCTGCATGACACCCCGGTGCTCTCTGTGAAACTGTGAAGACAGAATTTGGATAAAGAACTAAGCACCAATTCAAACTTCCGTTAACTTATTCATTCATCCTTTAAAGATTTGCCATTTTGTGTATGTCACAAATTCTGTGAATTCATGGCAATGCAGCTAAGGAGGAAACTGTGAACCCTGACTTCCTAAAGCAGGGAAGTAAAGACACATGAGCAATTACTGTCAAGTGTGATAAGTTCAATACGAGAACACATACAGAATCGGGCAATCATTAAGGGACGGTAATTGTAGCAGCAGGGAACGTGACAAAATTCCTTTCTCAGAGTTCACTTTCTATGCTAATTCCATAACAAATTGATTATTGAATTCCTAACCATTTTAAAGTACTGTGGAAGTAAAGAACAGTCTGAGTCACGGGATGTATAAAAGTAGAGTTGTACCTAACTACAAGTAACTCCAACTGCCAAACTGTGATTAACCATGCTTGCCGGTCTGTGAGACCTAATACCTGACAGAGTGCCATGACATGTTTTAGCACTGATTAGCTAAACACACAACAACATAAATGTGAAAATGCTATCAAAGCAGGCCTGGGTCACTGACACATTCCCACAAAATAAAACAAGGCACTGTTTCCACAGATATAGATGACAAGTCAAGTATAGTAACTTTAATTATTGACAGCACTAAACACAAACACACGAGTTGAGGTAGACTTTTAGAGGCTGTCAGGAACATCAGAGTACAAGCGACTTGTTGTGATAAAACAACAAGTTTGTGATTAAAAAAAAACAAGTTTTATAAGACAGATGCAAAGCTACATAAGACCGACGACTTATTTTACATTGGAAGAAATGTGAAATCTTTTCAAAAGGGACAACTAGCAATTGTCACTGTAATCTCTACCATCAAGATTCAGTTGGTATAATGTATGCAGTACTAGGTATCATGTATACTACATCTTTAACTATGAGTCACTGTGTCCTCAACTTGTAGGCCAGAAATACCTTAAGTAGCAAGTGGGGCAAAGAGTGCAACAAAAGAAAGAAAGAAAGAGAGAGAGAGAGAGAGAGAGAGAGAAAGAAAGAAATGTTGGAAGCTGATGCAGACAGGTGATTAGAAAGCACAGGACAGAGGTCCGAGTGAGCAATTGTGTGTTCACAAGATGTTTGAACTACTGCAGTAATAGGATAAAGTTCAAGTACTCAAGTAGACAGAATTGAACCCGTCTTGCAGATTATTGACTCCACAGAAAGATTGGGATGAAGGGTGGGCAACATGCTCAGTAATGCTGAGAGACAAGAGCTCTATCTCGGAAAGTAACGGGGCAGGAGAATGACAGCTGAGTGTGTACACCAGACACTGAACACCGAGCAGAAGCCTTAACCTTGAAGAAGTGCATGGAATTGGTAGCAATGAGAGAAAGCCGTCATTTCATATTTGTTTCTCCCTGGAATAAGTCTGGTATCTTTACAGACCGAGTCTATGGGTGGGATTGACATTATCAACTGGGAAAGCTAGAATTATAGAGCTGATCAAGTTTCAGAAATAATTTATTATCCTGACCTCTGTTATGTAATCTACTCATTGCTAGTGAAGCTGGTTACATGAGCAGTCTCCCAGGAGTTAATCATGGAGTTAGGTCAGGGGATGTCAAAAGGAATGGAGCAAGTGCTTTGCAGTCAGGAGCTCACTTTTCAACAAACAATGGAGACTCGCTGGGAGTTTTCAAGCAAGCAGGCAGTGGGCTAAGTTCCAGAATGAGATCTGGCTGCAAATGAAAGGCCTTAAAGCCTGGTTCAAGGCATGAACGTGTTCTAAAAATGTAGGTTAGCATACAACATTTCTTCAAATACATTGAATGTAATACATAAAAATACATAAAATATGTTGCCTAAACTGTTTAAATACTTTCCTAGATGGGAGAAGTAGTTTATAGAGTCTCTGTAAAGAAAATTCCAATGGAATAATTGAATGTACTAATATATTCTCTTTAAAAAATTAAATAATACAGGCAAGAAGTTTGACCACAGTTTTATTAAGTTGTTTATGTACATAGAGAAACAGAGGATATACAGATTTTTTTTTACAGAAAACAATTATTAAGCAAAGCAAATCACCCAGTTTTTAAAATGAGAAATATCGGTTCCTCATTTCATCCAGCCAGACAATTCCAGGGTGTACATCTTTCACGGAGGTTTTGTTGTTCCCTTTTCTGATACTACATCTAATCAAGTAAATTCCAGTGCTAAAACGTTTAAAAAATCACCCTGCATCTCAGTAGTTTTCTGCACATCTCTATTTGACTGTGTGTGTACATCTGTTGTTGTGTATGTGCGTGCATTTATGTCTGTATGTGTGAGTGTATGTGTGCAACTGTATGTGCAAGTATTTATGTATGTGTGTATATTCTTTTGTTTACATGTATTTTATGTGTGCATATATGTGTGTGTGCATTTGTGGCTTTGTATATGTGTATAATTGTGTATATATAGCTACATGCATTTATTTTTATCTGTACATGTATGAACATATATATGGATGTGTATACACATATTTTTGTGCTTTGTGTTTATATATGTGTGCATGTGTGTGTATATGAATTCAAGTGAATTGGCATATATAGTGCCACTTGAACATCCATGTTTATTAGCTATTCACAATAGCCAAGATATAACATCTGATTACCTGTTCATCAACGATTAATAGATAAATAAATAAATTGTCTGTCAGGGATGTGACTCAGTAAATAATGTGTCTACCATACAAGCTTGAAGACTTGAGTTCAGATTCCCAGGACTCATGTAAATAGCTTGGTTTGTTATCCCAGAATTGGGGAGGTAGAGGCAGGAAGACTGTGGCACTCATTGTCCAGCCTAAGTAGCCAAATCAATGAGATACAGGTTTAACAAAAGACCATGTCAAAATATCAGGTGGAAAGTGGTCAAGACACCCCACACCAATCTCTGACCTCCACATGTATACACATAATAGCACACCTGCACACACACACACACACACACACACACACACACACAAGAAAGATGTTTTATGAACATACAATAAAGGCTTCTACACTTGTAGAAATATTAAAAATATATCGCATGTAGAAAACTAAATGAAGTTGAATGTCACCACGGTGAGAGAAATAAGCCATACTCACACAAATGTAATTTCCTTCACATATAGAATCCAGTCTTCATATATGAAGACAGAGCAGGGGTATGCTGGGGATATGGGGAATTCCAAAATTTAAGTGATCTACAGGCACAAAATTTGAAAAGAGTGAATTTTAATTTAGAATCTGCCACAAGGTGGTGCCAAAACAAAAACTGTGGCAAGTAAAGAACAATTCTTCCCGTATTTTCTCTGAATTTACATAATTTTGCCTTATGATTATACCCGCTATTGTAGCTTGAAGTTCTAGCAAAATTCTTTTGCATGTAGTGCATGAACTGTAAGCTCCCCAACAGTCAACTAATGGTGTTGAGGTTATACCACATTCTTTAGTTGTTCTTTCTTTCTCTCTTTGTAGCAATATACTCCAATTTATTTGACAAGTTGAATCACTGGCTATTAAAGGGCATTTTGATTTTTTGAGATAAAATTAAAATAAATCGAAATAATATTACAAAAGCCCTTTTAGCAGTCACCTTTGTGTACACAGACCAGAAGTATGGACCTAAGTAAATGAGCCCTTTAATGTGAGTATGGCCAAATTTTCCAGTCAAGGGGTCTGGCCATTTAACTGTCAATCAACATTTGACCTTTTTTGTCAGATCCTTGTATTTGAATTTTTAAACTGTTTCTACCTGATATAAACATGATTTAATTATGGCTAAATTTACTATTACCTAATAATATTAAGTCATGTGATCCATAGTAGTGTCGAAAATGTTATCAGAATTCAATGAATTATCAGTTAATCTCATTGGTCATTTTCCATTTTTTAAGTGAAAATGTTCTTGTGTCTGATCATCAGAGGCTTTCATGAGTGATAAATACTAGTCACTAAATTTGTGTGTTAAGATTTTTCTCTTAATTTGTCACTTACCAAAATTTTAACTTTCAAAGTAAGATTTTATTTCCAGATGATCAAATATAAAAGGCCTTTTTTTCTCTTTAGTGTTAAAAGGGGTAGAGTTAGAAAGATGATGGTTCAGTCTCTAAGAGTGCTTACTAGTCCTACAGAGAACACTGGTTCTATTCCTAGCACCCATGCCAGGCAGCTCACAACTGCCTCTAACTCTATTTCCAGGGAATCTAAGTCCCTCTGCTGGCATGAACAGGAATCTGTACACAAATGGCACACATAAATTCACTCATGTGTGCCTATGAACACATAAAAGTTTTAAATAATAATATATAGTTAAAATAAAAAGGTGACTTTCTTCTCTAATGAGTTGAAACCTTGCCGTTGTCATTTCCAGTTCAAATATAAATAGTTCTGCATTTGGAGAGTTATATTCTGTTCCAAAGTTGACCAAAAGTTTAAGACACTCAAATACAACTGGTCACAAAATTATCCTTACATCACACAACGGAGTCAGATATAAGAGTTTTGCAGGAAGTTCCATGTCCACCCCGATGAGAGGCAGAGAAGAGCTATCTGCTTGAAGTCCCATGCCCACACTGGTGAGTGTCTTCAGGCTAAAGACACATTTTTCTTATTTCAAATTCAGCATTTCAACTATCCTACTGAACAACTCTTGCTGGAGATGGAAATAGATTATCCCCCTTTTTGTTGTGATTCCCTTCCAGGAGCGCATGAACATTCCAGCTGCAGCAGCTTCCCGTGCCAGAACGGCGGCACGTGCATCAGTGGACCAACCAGCTTCATCTGTGCTTGCCGACACCCTTTCACGGGTGACACCTGCACTGTGAAGACGGCGGAAGAAAACGCCTTAGCACCAGGTACAAGCCTCACCTTGCTATGCTTTGCAGTGTCACCTACAAACACAGGCAGGAAATAGTTGTGAAAGACCATTTGTGCCTTCTTAGCCTGTTTTTCCTGTTTTCTTCACTCCTGTAGATTGGTGTTAGTTTCACATCTGAGAGCGCAGCACTCCTGGCCCCTGAGGCTGCCCAGTCGGACAGGGTACTGGCAGACAGCTGACACCTGAATTTGATGCTCAGATCACCCAGGGAGAGGGGAGAATTAACTCCTGAAAGTCGACCGATGGCCTATACACATACATATATACAGTGAGAATAATAATATTAAACTTTAGTGTAGCACTCCTGACTTTTATAATAAAAAATGTGTACAACATTTAAAATATATTATCTTTGGTGGCCACAGAATATTTCAAGTCAGACTTTATCTGTTTCCTGTGTTCAAAAGTACATTTTAGTCCATTTTTAGTCTTTCCTAAGTGTGTGTGGCATTAATTACACAGAAACTTCCTGTTGTCTGCTTCTCTTTGATGAATAAGGGTTCGTTACACTTCAGTTTCCGCCTCTAAGAAGGATTGTGGAAACTCTCCCCATCCTGCAGGGCATTCTGGCCTCCTCTAATGATCGAGCTTTGAATTGCACCATCTTTAGGGAACATAAAGCAGAATGCAATGATCATGCACACATTTCTACAAGAGAGGTGTGGGGTGACAATCAACCCTGATCTAAATGGAGAAACAGGCTCCAGGAGACTGAGTATTTCCACGTACTTTATCCCACAGTGGAGGCAGACATTCAGCTTGATAGAGACCTTGGTGCTTTTGCTAAGGACTGGGCAACTGTGATAAATTGAGAACTATATGGGGAGGGAAACAAGATAAAAACCTGAAAAATAACTCTTGCCTTGTTTTTTTCCTTGAACAGATTTCTCCAAAGGATCTTACAGATACGCTCCAATGGTGGCATTTTTTGTATCTCACACTCATGGAATGACAACTCCCGGTCCAATCCTGTTCAATGATCTAGGCGTCAACTATGGCGCTTCATATAACCCAAGGACCGGCAAGTTCAGAATTCCATACCTTGGAGTGTACATATTCAAATACACTATAGAGTCATTCAGTGCTCATATCTCAGGGTTTGTGGTGGTTGATGGAGTAGACAAGCTTAGATTTGAGTCTGAAAATCCCGACAATGAAATACACTGTGATAGAGTTTTGACTGGGGATGCCTTATTTGAATTAAACTACGGGCAAGAAGTGTGGTTGCGCCTTGTAAAAGGAGCAATTCCAATCAAATACCCACCTGTGACCACATTTAGTGGTTTCCTGTTATACCGCACCTAAGATTGTCTGAGAGACAGACTGGCACTTCACTCCACTCCAGAGCTGACTCTCTCTCTTTTTATCTACCCTTGCACACACATCTGCTCTGTTGTAGCATTTCTGCATGAAATGAGAAATGTCTTTTAAGAGTCTTAATGGGTATGTCATAAGATGATTTGGTTAGCCTGTGCAGAAAGGGATTACTTCCCCTAAGGAAATGCAGAGAAAGGACAGAAACCCAATGTGTACACTACTGTACACATGCCTACCTATGCTCCTTCATTGTGGTATCTCCAATGCAGAATAAAATGTCAGCACATGCTATTGTAAGTCACAGCAAGACTTGCCAAGGAAACTTAAAATCTGATTTATTCTCTGTGTGTAACTATAGAACAAGAATTTCCTAGAATAACAAACTCAAATATAGTTCAAAGGCAAAAAAAACCCACCATTTCTCAACTTCTATTTTGGCTTCACTTTTGAGTTGATCATTTTTATATACTAACATTTATATTTGTGCTAAAAACTAAGAAAAGTAAAATATAAATATAAAATATGCTTAAATATTCTCTTTTCAAAATTGGAAAATGGAGAAATAACTGACTCCTACTTGGATACTTATACTTAATTCTATGGATATGCCTCTGTCACATAACATCTACATGAAGACAAGTGCAATGCTTTTAATTCATATTCTTTCATTATAGTCTTGTGGGGAAATTTGGGGTTTCCTTTTGTGGACTCTAAGTGTTAATAATAAAGGATTATAAAGATGGACACTGAAGGAAGCTCAAGTCCCATTTCTTTAAAGTTTGGACAAAAAGTAACAGCTGTACATTTGGGCAGCTTTCAAGAGGAGTAAGACAGAGAAGAAAGTAAAAGGTCATGAGCTTTTTTCCCTTTTTCCATTTTTCATCTGTAATGTGTGTGCGTGTATTTACGCATGTGCATGTGTGGTGTTCTAAGAGTACTCGCTCGTGCACACTGAACTCTAACTACTGGGCCATCTCCCCAGGCCTTCATGCCTTTTGAGTTAGGGTTCAAGAAAGTCATCATGTTCAGCAATGGAGATCCAGAAGTAGATGCTTGTAGAAAAGAAGAGGTTTTCAGAGAATGAGTGAGAAAGCCTGGAATGAAAGGGAAAGATTCCCAGACCTCTGGCCAATATTCAAGAAATAGAAGGTCGGCACTGAGGTTACAAGTGAATGAGGACAATTTTTCCATGTCACCATCAGCAGTAGGAGGACTTCCCAAAGATGTTTAGGGATGCCCAGTGAGGCCAAACCAGGATTCTCAGTTCTGACACTGAAACTACCAGGACTAGAGCTGGCAGAGTTGCAAATTTTACTAAAGATCTTTCAGTACAGGTTTAATAAAGGTGGGAAGGAGATGAGGTGGACTTGGCAGAACTAAGGAGGGCCTGCCATGGAACATAGGCATGGGCTTCTCCAAGAGGACTGGTGCTCATGATTTCCACAATAAGCCTCTGTGTGATGTTGGTGGAGTTTGAAGGTATCATCTCAGAACTGGATGGTCCTTATCACTGTGAGCAGCAACTGGCAGGATTACAATTGGTAAGGTAAAAGTCTATTCCACGAGAATAGGAAAGCAGGGTAAGATTACTGTAAAGAAGGTCTAGTTTCTTTTAAAAGTTTCACCCAATGTCTGGGAAAGGAATAAGAACTGTAGTGGGGAAGGGCTTTTTAAGAAATATACATATACTACCCCTTTAAGGAGACAATTATGCCTCCCATCTTCTTGGTGTATCTTCCCTGAATCACTTTCCTGTGGGGTCCCCTAACAAGGTGTTGTACAGACTATCTGGAATAAATCTTAAAGGAGAAGAAATTTGCAAATGTCTAATCTTTGGAGGAGATCAGAATGTCTTATCCAGCTACCTAAAAGTATAACATACAGATTTACCCTTATTCTTAAAAGACTAAGTACTAATCTGTATGAGTCAATGAGTTCTTGGAGGCATGATATGCCTTTGTCTTCCAAACAATTTTTATACAGGGTCTCATTGACTATAGCAGCACGCTACAAGTAGGAAGGTGTCATGTCAGCAGCAATGAAGCTAATTACTATTATTTTTAGAATAACATTTTTAGGATAGCATTTTCTCTTTATATTTGTCAGAGGATTTCTGAATGTAGTCTCATGAGTAGTAATAAAAACAATGAGAATATTTTTATAATGCCGTCATCTCTCATGAGTCAATTTTAATGACCACTATATTGTCATTAATTATGTATTAATCTATCAAATACATATTATGTATTCCCATCCTCTTTCTGCCCATGAAATACAGAGGCACACAGAGGCTGGGAGATTTACCTTTCAAAGGAAGAAAGTATGGACAGAGAATAAACATTTCTTAATTTCATTAAATGCTAACTGGTTGACCTTTGTGATAGTAGGCTGCTTGTTCATTTCCTGGCTGCCTAGACTCCCAAAATAATCACACAGAAATCACTGCTTAAAGCGTGAAACAATCCCACACTAGTTTGGATTCAAAGAGTTATTTATTTGAGGGGGAAAAACTTATAGAACACCGTCCTACATGACAGCCAGGAAAGGAGTCTAGTAACTGGAACAAGAGTGAGAGCAGAGGGCTGCCACTGCTTTTTAAAGAGAAAGAGGCCACACCCCATGGGCTGGTATCTCAATGGCTATTGGCTGAAGGAGCGGAAGGAGCTCCTGCAGCAACTGCTTGGCACATTAGCTCTAGCTTTTTATTGGATAGCTTTTACATTTTAATTTAACCCATTTCCATTATTTTATATTTTAACTAGCAAGGTTCCAATGTGTCTGTCTTTGGCTGCAGCTCCATGGCTTCTCCCTGACTCCACCTCCTTTCTCCCAGCATTCAGTTTAGTTTTTCCTGCCAAGCTCTACTCTATCAGGCCAAGCCAGTTTCTTTATTAACCAATGATATTCACAGCATCCAGAGGGGACTCCCACATCAGACCTTTATATATTTCTTTCTATCTGTAATATGTTAATATTAACATGCTCAATATATCTTCATCAAATCTTACAACTTTTAAAATGTGTTCAAAGTTCAAAATAAAAATAATGTTTTCATATAATAGATGCTTGAAAATTTTTTTATATTTACCAAAAATTAAAAGCATGTATCAATACCAAGAATGCACATGAATGTTCATAGTAACTTTCTTGGTGATAGTTCAAAGCAGTTCATCACCCACATATCCAACAGACAAGTAAAAAACTCTATGTATCCAAAGAGTGCACAGATACCAATTAATGCAAGGACAGACGCATTACAGCACCTATAAATGTCATCAAAAGAGTGTTACAGTGGATTGTGACCTATAGCCAATTCTTCAAGTGAACCTCATACACATGGAGGCCACAGACACACTCTGAGCAGATCGGGATATAGGGGAGAGTGTGATCTAGGAGTGGAACCTTGGAGGCTTCACTGAGTTTCCTCTGATTGTAGATAAATCAGTGGTTTTTAAGAAAATTCAAAACGCAAATGCTTTCTGCAGTCCCTGACTAGAAAATTACCATAGTTAAACTGCTGTTTACTTTGTTTCTTCAAATAGAGAGTAGATATATGTTTTTCTTTCCAAATCCATTTCCAGTGTCTATGTCAACGCTGTTCTTCTGTGGTAGAAAGCAAGGAAGGAAGCCCCTCGACAGCACTTGTCTTCTCAGGCCAGGTTGAGCCATGAGTTTTATAATTAAGTGACAGACATGCAGCATTATCAGAGGTTCTGATGTTCCCATTTTAATGATGAATGTTAATCTTTGTATACATATTTGTAGCATATAAGATTAGACAATAGTGTCACCAATAGCTAAGAGGCAATACAGCAACCTTAAGTTGCTTGACTTTGCAGGGTTGTGCTTTAAAAGTTAGCAAGTATAATTTAAGCAACTTAGGAATTTCTTTCTGTCATGGTCAATTTACTCATATAGGATAATAAACCATCACAAGGCCTTTTCTTGAGTTCTTCTATGGAGACAGGGGACTTTGTTCTTTCCCCTCTGCAGATTCAGTTATAGAAACTGTCCTCATGTTTTTGTGCTCGGCAAGCTCCAGGGAATTTCCAGCCCCTGATTGCTGACACCATCCCCTCATCCATGCTTAATAGATAATATGACAGATATTAAAAACCTTTAAAACATAATCTAAGAGCAAACATCCTGTGAGTCAGAACAAACATGTTCTTAGCTGATACAGCTCGGAGTCAGGAAGGTGTTTGCCATAGCCTGCTTCATGCAAGTTTTGGAAGAGCAGAGGCTTATCTGATTCAATATTGTTCTTTCTTCTGTGTCTTTGATCAATCTGTAGTACAGGGGTTGATATTCCATATTTTAAAATCCTTTGATAAGACTGGAAAGATGTCACATCATGAAAGAGTACATCTTGTTGTTGCGGAGGACCTAATTCAGTTCTCAAAACCCACATGACAGCCCACAATTGCCTATAGCTCCAGTCCTAGGGAATCTCATGTCCTTTTCTGACATCTGAGGGCTCTAGCATACACACTGTGTACTTAGAAGTACTCAGGCATACACACACACACACACGCACACACACACACCTTATTGATTAATTAAGCAAATAAATAGTAAAAAAAAGTGTCTTAATTTATTCTAAAATTACACTATTTTACCAATCCAAAAACAAAACTTCTCATTCTAGAAGAATGTGCTAATTTTTTTTAGACATTAACAAATGATTCCTATATGACAAGCAGATCGTTTTGGTTGTCTGTTTAATCTTCTTGGGGTTGCTTTACTTGCCCACAAAATAAATATAAATATAAAACAAATTTACAGATATAGTCAGTAAAACTACATAAAGTAATATATACTTTATGTTTTATAAATCTCAGTTATATTCAATATCTTTTTATGATATATGCATGTTAAATATTTACATAGCTTATTTCATATCATTTCTATATAAAAAATTATTACTCAAGTTTATGTAATATTTAACTATTATTAATCTAGTTAAATTTCAGCCAGGGTGGTAGCACATGCCTTTAATCCCAGCACATAGGAAATAGAGGCAGGTGTAACTCTGTGAGTTCAAGGCTAGCCTAACCTACAGAGATATTTCCAAGACAGCCCAGACTACACAGAGAAACCCTATCCCTTAAAAAAAAAAAAGCCAAGAACAAAACAAATCTATGTTAAATTTCATATGCAACCTTTATCAAGCACTGCCAGCTGAGTCTGCACATAGCAGGAGGCCACACAGCTCCTTCACTGAGAACTCCAGTTTTATTAGTGTCTCCTTGTTCATGATAGAAAAATACTGAGTAGTGTCCTGTCATCAAAGCTCATTTCAAATGTGGCAAAAAATTCATCAGCCAAAAGTATTTCCCTCCCATCTGTTATCGCGGGGTACTCGGGAGACACACTGAAGTGAAATATAGGCCTGCCTTGCCAACCTGTGCCGTTTACTCCAGTGGCTCTCCTGGGCTTACCACACAGGCTGCAGCCGTCCCGGGAAGGTTATTAAGCACCACCCACCAGTGCCTTTACCGCAGCTGGTAGCCACTCCACCATGAGCCCTGCTGCAATCCAGCAGCGGTGAATTTGCATTCCTATCTCTAGGTTGACATCTCAATTGAACACAAAACCCTGGAAAAAGTCCAAATTCAGGAGATTTCATGATTTGCATATGAATCCCTTCAGAGGTCGTGAAAGCTCGGGTGTCCGCTTGGGGGTGTTTTGTTCCATTTTGTTTTTTTGGTGGTAGTGGTGATCATTTTGTTTTTCTTTTAATCTGGGCTTTGTG